TAAGCACAACCTTCCACCGATCCCGAGAGAACGAAGAAGACACGACACACCTATTGTGGCTTTAAAATTTGATAAATTAAAATCGGGAAAATTTGTAGTTGATACAGGATCGAATATATCAATCATAAAAAACAGTATGTTAGAAGGAAAACACTTTACAAAATACGCACCTCATAATGTTTTAACAATAGGAAACAATCCCGTAACATTTGAATATTCTATTTGTTTAAAACTTTATGGTAAAGAATCAGTTTTTCAAGTTACGAAAGATGAAAATGCATTTAGAGAAAATGGTTTAATTGGAATGAATTTACTTTACGATCAAAATTTTAAAATTGACTTAGAAAAAGGTATTTTAAACTTAAGACCTAAAATACTTCATCCACAACCTAGTGCAGATAAGAAAGATAAAATCTGTTTTATTAACTTGGAAGGAGGATATTCAGCAGTCACAAAATATGATTATCAAGGAAATCCAATTTTACCACCTAATACAGCAAAAATTGAAAGTATGTATGATGCTTATGAAGACTTATGGATAGATTCTATAAAAAAACTGACTGACGAAAAAATGTACCAATTCAGCAATAATGCAAGAATTAAAGAATTATTATCTAAAACACGACTAGACCATATCAAAGAAGGAAAAGAAGACTTACTAAGAATCATAACAGAATTTCACGACATTTTCCCATTAGGAAACGATCCTTTACCTTTAACTAAATTAACTGAGCATACAATTAGAACAACAGACGATCAACCTGTAAATACAAAACAATATAGATATCCACCTATGTTACAAGAAGAAGTTTACTAACAAATTAAAGAAATGTTAAAGAAAAATATACTTCGAGAAATTATGTCTCCTTTCAATTCACCGTTATGGATAGTCCCAAAAAAGAAAGACGCTTCAGGCAACTTAAAATGGCGAATTGTTATAGATTATGGAAAACTAAATGAAAAAACCATTTTAGACAAATATCCTTTACCGTGTATTGATGAGATAATTCAGCAGTTAGGAAATTCTAAATTCTTTTCTTGTTTTGATCTTGCTTCCGGATTTCATCAAATAGGAATGAATCCCAAGGACAAAGAAAAAACAGCTTTTAGCACAAACGAAGGTCATTATGAATATAATAGAATGCCTTTTGGTTTAAAAAATGCCCCTCTAACATTTCAAAGAATGATAAATAATAGATTAAAAGGACTAATAGGTAATGGATGTTTTGCATATATTGACGATATTATTGTTTACGGAAGAACGTTGGAAGAACATAATAAAAATTTGAAGAATTTATTTATAAGACTACGACAAGTTGGACTCAAATTACAACCAGATAAATGCGAATATCTGCGTCCAGAACTGGAATATTTAGGGCATGTTATTACAAAAGAAGGTATAAAGCCAAACCCAGATAGAATTGACAAAGTAAAAAATTATCCAAGACCAAAAACTCAAAAACAGATTAAGCAATTCTTAGGACTTATTGGTTATTACAGGAAGTTCATAAAAAACTTCTCTAAAATAGCAAATCCACTAACTAAATTACTACGAAAGGAAACTACATTTGAGTGTACACAGAAAGAAGAAAACGCGTTTTCCGAATTAAGAGATAAATTAATAACAGCACCGATACTACAATTTCCAAATTGGAATCAAGTTTTTATTCTAACAACTGATGCATCAAATGAAGGATTAGGAGAAATTAATGAGATGGAGACTAAAAATAGAAGAATACGATTATGAAATTATTTACAAAAAAGGAATTGCCAACACAAACGTTGACGCCTTATCGCGCATTCCAAGGGTTCAGATGACAACAGACGGTACATATTATACGTTACAACAGCAGAACGCGCGTACTACAGGTGTAAACGAGGAAAATGAGAACATGAAATTAGATACGCAAACAGAAGACGACAACTCAATCATTGATGACGAAAATAAATACGAAAATATGGAAATAGATTCACAGACAGAAGAAAGTGATCAATCAATAATTAAAGACGAATTCAAGGTAATAAAAACTATAAAATTGATTACAGGTACTAAAGAAAAAAGGCAAGGGTATGCAAATTATTCTCTTTTGGAACCGATAAGTAACTTGAGAGATATACTTAAACCTATAAGAGACACAAATTATATTTGGAAAATATTAGTTTATGGAAGAAAAACAATACCTAAAGAAAGAGCTATATACAAAGTAGTAAGAGATTTTAACGAGGAAACAGAAGTACAATGGATCAGAGATATACCTCAAATAGATAATGATGACGCGAAAAAAATACGATTAAAAAGAAACAAAATAGAACAAACTTGACAGTTAATTATAAAACGAGAATTTGGACCGACAAGGATAAAAGAAATTTGGATCACTAACGAAGAAACAGAAGAAAATGACAAAATAAAAATTAGTCCTTAGGTGACGGATGATCAATTATCAGAATTTTTAGAAAAAGAAACTAAAGAAGAAAGATTAAGAATTATTTACGAGGATATAGATGAAAGGAAAATATCGAGGATTCTTTTTAAAATATGGAAAGGAGGTGACAAGGAAATATATTTAATAAAGAAACACATTGAAACGAATAGAAGAAAAATTATTGCAGAAGCACATGAAGGAATATTAGGAAGACACTATTCTAAAGATATTACAGTACAAAAGATAAGAAATATGACAAACTGGCCCAACATTACAAAAGATGTTGAAGACTTCATCAAAACATGTGATTTATGTCAACGATTTAAACAAATTGAAAGAAAACAAGAATATTATGAAGAATCAGACATACCAGAAGGACCAAATGATGAAATATCAATAGATATAGTGGGACCATTAAATGAAACTACCAGCGGAAATAAATATATTTTGGTGATTCAAGATTTTTTAACTAGATATGTGCATTTAGAATCATTGAAGGGCAAATCAGCAACTTTAGTCATAGATGCTATGTGGAAAGGATATTTAAAAACGAACGGTAAATCTTTAGAAATACTAACAGACAATGGGAAAGAATTTATTAATAACGAATTTTCAGATCTAATGACCGAATTAAAAATAAAACATGTAAAGACTTCAGTTTATCACCCACAAAGTAATGGAAAGAATGAAAGATCACACAAGAAGATTAATGAATATTTAAGTATTTATGCGCAAAAAGATGAATGGGATAAAGAGTTACCTAAAACAATGTTAACATACAATATGACAATAAATAGGATTACAGGATTTTCTCCATTTGAACTACAAAATGGCAGAAAAGCAAGAGAAGCATTTGAAACATTAAACAAAATAACAAATCTCGTAAAGAAAAACGAATTAAAACAATAAGAACACGAAAACAAATTAAATGTTGCAAGAAGAAAAATCAATGAATCTCAAAAAAACAAATACTGACTGATAAAAAGACAATTTCAGTTGGGGAGCAAATATTGATAAAAAATTATATGAGAAAAAAGGGAGACCCTTTGTGGTTAGGACCATTTATAGTTTTACATAAAATTGGAAATACGTATACAATAGAAAATAATCGAAAGGTTCATAGGGAAGATATTAAGAAATATTTTGTTTTAGATAGTGAAGAAGACGATTTGGATGATTATAAGTTCTTAGAAAATAAACATGTAGCAGACTACGATATACTAAACCAAAAAAAAGCAGAAATAAATAATAACAAAAAGAGTTTGTTTATTCAACAAAAATTATTAATAGCTGAAACGTTAATAGAAGAAATGAACGACGACATAGATTTAGCAATAAGTTCAATTAATTTAGGGAAGCATGGAATTATAAACCCCCAAATTTTAACACCTATAATGTTGCATGAATCAATTGATGGATTTGAAAAGGAATTTAGGACTAAATATCACATCGAAAGCGATGAAAGAAACTATCAACATATTATAGACATTAGTGAAATTACTACAATTATAAAAAATCATCACTTAGTATACATAATTAAAATTCCGATTTTAGATGAAAAAGAAATGACAATAGTAAGAACTTTACCAATTCCAGAACGAATAATTAATGGTCAAGCTATGGTGTTTTTACCAAACCACGAATATATTTTGCAAACGAAAACTGAATACGTACCGATTGACAAGACAGATTTAGAAAAATGTAGTAATATAGAAGACTATAAAATTTGTAAGAGAAATCAACCGAATTATTTAATATATCAAACAGAAAATTGTGACGCGGATTTAATAAAAATGTCTAACAGAAATTGTCTAAAATCTCCATTACTACTCAGCGATGAAACATTTATGAAAACAGAAACAGGTTATATATGTATATTTGTAAAAGAAACAGTTATAGATATAGTATGCGAATATAATAATTATAATGGTAAAAAATTGGGTACTTATCTAATAACAGGGAATAGATGTAAGCTATATACGAATGAAATAAAGCTAGATCTTAATAAACCGATGAAAAATATAAGTAGATACTTTGAGGATAAAATCACAATAGAATTAGATTTTGAGAAAGACGATTTAAAATTAATTAATGATAAATTACCAAAATTACCAAGATTTCTTAACTTAGATAGAATAAAAGAAGCGAAAATTAGTATGGAAGATACCGAAGCGATGCTAGATAAATTAAAGACACATGAAAGATTTAAGAGTTGGACAGAAAAGTCTTTGACGTATTTAGAGTACATAGGTGTGGTCAGATTAATTAGTCGCTATTCAAAGTGATAGCACGGTTAGTAAATTCTCTTCCAAAAAGACTCAGTGAAGATTTGGAAGGATTGATTATCTCCAAGTTTTTGTACTTTGCTTGTTTAATAAATAAAGTAGAGTTTGTTCTCAGTTGAGTAACCAACTCACAAAAATAATATTATTAGTTGTTTCTTACGGCGACAACAATAACAATGTTAATAAATATTCATTATATCAGTTTCATAAGAAATTAAAACAAAATAAACCATTTAAATAATATCTATATTCTCAAAATGTAAATACATCAACAAATAATTGAAACGTTCAGAAAATGTACAATTTTTTTTGTTATTCGAAATTTTGATAAAATAATAATTCAGTTCTATCGTAGAGAAATTATATAATCTATAGTGTATTGTTAATGAATATGCATTGCTCATCGATATGGGTTATTAAATTCCTTAAAATGTATGTAAAATTTTTTTTAGGATCCCGACACAATACGCAATACTGTTTGTCTACTAATTGTAAGTAAAAATTCATTTTTTCTTAGCAAAAAAAAAGTATTTGCTTTTGCTAGGCAAATTAATAATAATATCAAAAACTACAATTCCTCACGAAATTCAACATTATTTTTCATCGCTTCGAAAAGAAATTAATGCCAGGATTTTCTAAATTCTTTTTTTATAATAATAAAATATATGGGCAAATCTAAAAAACATGCACACTTCGACAAAAAAAAGTAAAATTTTTAAATTTGTAAGCACACATGTGGTTTTTATATCATTTTACTCATAATCGTTCAATAAATCAGAAAATATAAATGTAATTCATTTTCATAAAGTGCTTCAAAAGTTAGACCGAAAATAAACTTCTGCATTTGTTACGTCACGGCTATATATTTCGAGATATCAAGAGATATCACAAACTGCTTATATTAAATAAAAAAATCATCAAAATTTGATTTATATTATTATTATTATTATTTATTAACAAATTATGAACTAAAAACATAAACAAACATTTATAAAAATTAACCTCAAATTTTTTGCCTTGTGTTATAACCATGCTTACGAGTTATTGCACCCGTATTCTTCTTTTTTTCTCTATTTTCTTCAAGTGTATTTTTATTCTTTTTAAAAAATTTTAGTAAGTAAATACTATTCTAGAAAAGCTCTATTTTTGTAAAAATATAAAAAGAGTATTAAATTACCTGCAGACATTGTGTTTTCTTGATTTTTCACGTTTGTGAACAGGTTACAATAGACAACTCGTCTGAACATCGTTATTAAAAAAAAACATAGAATTTGACTAATTTTTAAAAAATAACCTTGCGTAAACTTCAAATTGCATATGTGAAAAATCACACGATGCAGTAAATCACGTTTTTATACATTTCTAATAAAGATTTTTTTGAAGCATTTTACATATATATGTAAAAATAAGTAAAATGATAATTACAAAAAGATTTAGGCGGTTTTGACTTATTTTGTAAGTGTGCCTTTAATTAAAGTGTCGTTGGAAAAAGGTTTACGCTGTATGTAGCAGATTATTTTACCTTTAAATGTAAGTTTATTTTAAAAGCACAACTTTTGTTAATGTACCGATTTATTCGTAATTATTTGAAGAATGCAATGCATACTTCGAAATGTTTTTTAAATAAGTGCTTCAAAAACTACAAGCGAAAAGTTGAAACTTTTCAAAATAATGGAAAGTAAAGTCACATCTTTTCGGTTCCTTATCATTTTGATATTTTTGACTGCACAACTTACTTACATAGTATAATTGAAATGTTATTATAAATACAAATAGCATGTAAAATTTCAAATATTTATATGGAGTGCTTCAAAAGTTATTCTACATTTCATTTTACATATCTGATAAGTCACACACAAATTTTTAATTTTTTGTTGTTTTCTGGCATTTACATTCGTATAACATTTAAGTTATTTACTAAATCACTTAAAAACTGTTTCGTATCATTCAAGTATCAGTAAATATATGTAATTCACAAGCAACTGGGTTAATATAATGTGTACCATTAAAAATAAGCCCAAGTCACACGAAAGTTACCTGTTTTTTAGATTTGCCCATATACGTAAATATCTCGATAATCATGAATTATTTACAATATCTAAAGTAATAATTATATTTCAAATTTAGTTATTACTCATCAATTTTGAGAAGTAAATGAATGTTTTAAATGATGTAAAACATCTTTTGAAGCTTCATTTAATTTTTTAAATTGGAGTAGATCCTTGGAATCACATTCCCACTTTTTTTGATACCATTTTTGAAATAAATGTAATCCATTGAAGGCTGCTGTTGCCTCATCTATAATATTTCCTGTTTCTATTTCTTCTTCAATATTTGGTTCACTTTGCTCATCATTTTCTTCATCACTTTCTTTATTGTCAGTTCCATCTGTATGTTCTTGACCTAGTGATCTGTAAATTAAAAGAATAGTGTTATTATACTTACTGGAATATAATTAACAAGTCAATAAAAAATATTATACCTTTGAATGGTTTGATGTAAGTTCCTAACATTCCAACCTGGTTCTAAACTATCAACTTGGAGCTACATTGATACTTGCTCGGTTCTGACATCTTCAAACCCAGGAAGTCTATATAAATTTTGAAGAATATCATCTTCCGTCACATCCGTTTTATCCCATGTTGTAATGTCACATCCAGGTATCAATTTCCTCCACTATCTACATATATTAGTTGCAGTTACATTACTCCAAGCTCGATCAATTTGAATACTGCAATTCAGCACATTTCTATTTTTTTAGAAAATTAATAAGAGATGGTTCATCTTCTTCTTAAATAAGTTCTCTTAAAAGCTTCTTCCTATAAAATTGCTTGGTTTTCGCAATGACTCCTTGATCCATCGGTTGGATTAAAGATGTAACGTTAGGTAAAAGATTTTGTACTTAAAAAAAAAATTTTTGCATTTAAAATTTAAAAAAATATTTTAGTGACAATATAATACAAATATGAGAGATTTTTTTTCAATCGCCCCAGCCCAAAAATTCAATGTTCTGGGATTGGCTTCATACTTTAATAAATTGTTGTCCTATATGATAGTAATAAATCCCTAAAATATAAACTCATTAAAAAAATATTTGTAGAAAGTAGAGGGGGTTGAAGTTTTGACGTTAAGGGTAACATTGTCATTTTCAAATCCCTATAACTATGACAAAAGTTAATGGATGTTAATTTATCTATAATGAATTTTAATGAATTTTTCACGTACTTTTCAAAAATGTATACAAAATTAAAAAAAAAAAATTTTAACCCCTTTTTTTCAAAATCAACCCTTATTTTTCGATTTTCACCCCTTCGGGAATTTTTTTTTTTATTTTTTTTATTTTCATTGGAAAGCTGAGGTTTTTTCCCATGAGCTATGTAAATATGAAAATGGGACAACAATAATTTTGTGAGAAACAGAATATGAAAGCAGCCGGTGCCTACCTAAATCCTTGAAGATGATCTTTAGGTATACCCGTTATCGGCACCACCTAGATTAATATTCTGTTTCTCACAAAATTATTGTTGTCCCATTTTCATATTTACATAGCTCATGGGAAAAAACTTCAGCACAAACCATGAGAGTAACTCTGTCTTTTGACACCTTAAAACCATATGTACTCTTTTCAAAATTACAAATAAAAGTCAAGGATGGTAGCAATCTCCAGAATAAACCAGTTTCGTCAGCATTATATATTTGTTGTAATTCTAAATTATTATCTCTTATTTTGTTTGCCAAATCGTCAACAAATTGTACACAGGTTTTAATGTCAGCAGACATTTTTTCTCCTTGCATGCTGCATGACCAAATTTTATACCTATCTTGAAACCTACAAAACCACCCAATACTAGCTTTAAATGTAGGTTCACCTTTTATTTCTTTATTTATAATTAAGGCCTTTTCTTTTAAAATTTCCACTGATACTGGTTGTCCGGCACATCTTTTTTCTTTAAACCAGTTATAAAGAATTTCTTCCAAAAGTGGATTTTTTGATAGTCATTCTTTTACGCTTATGAAGATAAGATTTTTCATCTATCTCCATAGCTTTTATATGATCTCTTTTGCTAAGATTTCTTATTCTCCGATTTGTTGACAATGATACTTCATACTTTCTCGCAATTTCAGAAAGATTTGTTTTAATTCCAGCAGCTTGGTTATTTTTTAAAAGTTGGTTAATTTCTTGTCGCTGACATTTAGAAAGAAAATTCAATTTTCTTTTTTCTCCATTCATATTTAAATAATATGGGTTCTGGAACAGAATCTGAAATTTTAGTTTAATTAAACATTAGTTATAAAGTAAAAAAAGTATAAAAATTTTTTAAATAAAATTAAAAGTATAATTAATTTATTAAATTAAAAATAAAGTAACTAAGATTGTTTAGTATGAACTGTTGCTCTTCCAAAATTCATTTCTGTAAATATTTTTTAATTAAAAATTCTATAAAATTCAATTATTGACTAAAATTAATAAAAATATGTTTTTTTCATTAGTTAAAAATACTTACTTCTGTTGAGAAAATACTTAACTTTAAAAAATATTTTCGTTTTAATTCATTTTTTGCAATTGCCACCAATATTTAATTCTTTAATGTTTATAAATTTCACATAGTTGCAAAATTCGAATCTTTTTTTTATTTTTCATGTCTGTGCCGTATATAATCTAATTTTGTCTTGTAAAACAATACCCTCTCTCTTTGCCTAGCACATAAGAATTTTGAGAAAAATGAGTTAATGAAACCAAAAAAGTTTTTTTGAGTTCCATAACACTACAGTATTTATGCAATATTTTTTATGTTGAATGGACTTTTTTCGAAAAATTGAATATTTTTCGATAAAATTGCATCAATACTGTAGTGTTATGGAACTTAAAAAAACTTTTTTGGTTTTAATACTCCATTTTTCCAAAAATTCTTATGTGCTAGGCAAAGAGAGAGGATTTTGTTTTACAAGACAAAATTAGATTATTTACGGCACAGACATGAATAATAAAAAAATACATTTATATTTTTTTGAAAGAAAAAGAACAATATGAAAAAAAAAGAAAAAAACATCTTCTAATTAAAATATTATAAGACCTTGCAAATATTTAAATTAAATAATTAAAAACAGTTTTTTAATAGAGTTTTGTAAATACAAACTGAATTTGACCTTGACTCAAATTTAGGTCCTGGAATAATACGTTCCAATTATTTCAAGTCCTGGAACCATTCGTTACATAATAAAGATAGTCCCTGAACAAACCGATCGGTTTCTTTATTTTTATACACCTATTGGACGAAAATAAAAAAATAATTAATTAATAACATAATATTTTTAAAAAATATTCTCTTATTTTCCATTTTTTACCGTTTTACCATACGATTGATAGTTCACAGTCATGAAAAAATTTTACAATAATTTGAGGATGAAAATAATAAACTTTGTGAAAGAAGTTGAATTTTTAGCAATCCTTTTTTTTGTTTTTAAAATTATTATATTTTTTGAAAAAATTCTAAAATTATTATTGAATTAAAATTTTTCTGTTTCCCTTAGTTTTTTTTATAGTTTTAAATAAATATGTCAGAAAAATTAAAACATTGGTGGGCAGCTCAAAATGATGACATGGAACAATACAATGCTCAGATTTTTCTAGCTTCTTTATTATCTTTCTTTGGGATATGTCTGTGTGATTTGAATCTAAATATCTAGTTTCTTAAGCAGCTAGTTCTAAAACTTCTAATCCTTTAAAGCATTGAGTGTAAATAATTGCAAACTGAACTAAGAATGTAGGATTAAAATCCAACTTAAAATCAAGACCTGAAATAATACAATGCTCAAATTCTTCTAGTCCCCATCTAGATAAAAGTTTAAAAAAAAACAAAAAAAAATTTATGATGAAATTTATTATCAATTGAGAAATGCAAATTCACAATGAATTCCAGGAGAGGAGTCCTAAAGTTTTGTATTTAAAAGTAAAAATTACGAACATAAATCAGTAACACTAAACTTAGTACCCAGACAGCACCGTTTTTCGCAGGGAGTTCGCGGGGAGTTCCCCGTGTTAAGTTCGGAAACTAAGTTGGGGAGCTTCAGGGGAAGTTCAGGCGAGCTCTATATGTCCTCGGTTTTATAACTCGCGGTGCGAAGTTCAGGATAGTTATCCGATTAAGTTTGCCGAAAAATTGTGGATAAAAGTTTAGGAAATATTAAATTTTGAGTTTTACAGAAATTTGCTTTGTGAATTTCTTTAAAACTATCTCCGGAAAGTACTCTAAAGATATATAGACAAATTTCCTGTAAAATTAAAATGCAAGTTTTTAGTAAATTTTATAAGGTAAGTTTATTATAAATGTTTTATAATATTTATTAAATAAAAGTAAAATTAAAAAAATTTATTTTTCCCTTATTGCGCTTTCTTTTATTTTTCCCCAACATTAACGGCGCAATTTTCGGAAATAAATTTGGAGGAGCTGGGGAATGAACCCGGACGCGCAACACAACAGCCAAGAACCCTAACCACTAACCTAACCAACGACCTGAAGGTGGGTAACTTTCGGGTCTTTATAGGGTGTTTTCGGCGCGTACTCAGAGTTAACTACAGAGTCAACAGTGGTGCTCAAACTTTGGATGGCGGATTTCCTTCAGACTCCTCATGCTGATTGGCGCAAAAATTTATAATTGCGACAAATGTATGAAACGTGCCTTAGGTTTAGAGAAATTTAAATGAAAACATAACTTATTTTCCTAGTTTTTCGATGAATTCCCCAAAAAGTTATAACTAGAATGCCCAGAGTTAACTCCGCTTTTGATCGAGAGCGAAAGAAAGGAGTAAAGGAAAAATGGCGTCAGGTATGTGTAACACGTGTGTCATGTTTAAAATTATTGTATAAATTAATGTTTATATTGTATATATAATTACATAATTTAAGTAAAATTTATTCTTTTTCTTTCTTAAATGATTAAAAGTATTTAATTTTTTTTTAATCGATCATTAATTTATGAAAGAAGCACTTACTTACACTTGTTTACAAATTAATAGAAGAAATATAATTAAATCATGAAATTAATTATAATTCGAAATTTTTAAATATTCCGCAAGATTCTAATATTTTATTAACATTATATTTATTTGACTAGTCAATATTTTTAAAAGTTACTTTTTTTGCTATAAACAGCGAATATTTAATTAATATTTATTTATTATTATTATCTGGTTGCAGAAGGTGACCTAATATTATACATTAATATTAATATATTTTAGTAATAAAATAAAAAACATGAAGATAACGATCACTCCGAGTCAAGGCAAACAAAAGAAAACAAAACTATTTCTTTACGTTTCAGCAGCACCGCTGCCCTCTTCAGAAACTACAAGATTTTTATTGACAAATAATTAAAATTTTACATATATAATTTAAAAAGTACAGTAAAAAGGTTTTTACCAATAAAAAAGAAACCAATTAACAAAATGGAAGACACACAAAATCTCAATAATAGTTACATTTATTTCCTCAACGATAAGAAGTCTGTTTAGCCACCTGTTTTAGTGTGCACTGACAGTTCTCTTACTTGTATATATATATATATAGTTGTATTTTTGTTTACTGACGGTCCGTTGACCCCCTCATTATATAATTGTCAAGCCACGTGCTTCTACTCAGTGTTTAGATAGACTGCCTATCGTACAGACGTCTATTCCTCTCTAATTATTTCATCTTCAAATGAATTACTTGAAGAAAATTTTCTTTTTTATTGGTAAAAACCTTTTTACTGTACTTTTTAAATTATATATGTAAAATTTTAATTATTTGTTAATAAAAATCTTGTAGTTTCTGAAGAGGGCAGCGGTGCTGCTGAAACGTAAAGAAATAGTTTTGTTTTCTTTTGTTTGCCTTGACTCGGAGTGATCGTTATCTTCCTGTTTTTTATTTAATATCGACCGAGTGATAAAATCATTTTATTTATTTTATATTTTAGTAATATTTTGTTATTTATACCCCAGGGAATTAAAAAATATAAATATCGCAATAAGTAAAATTAAGTTTTCTATCGACAAAAAGTAATGATCGTAAATGATCGTAAATATAAGATTGGAATACGAAAATATAATCTTCTTGTAATAATTTATGGTTTTTGGTTGACATTTTAAAAAATTTTCGCTAATTTTTACATACTTAAAGAGTTGAAAAATTTGAATTTTTGATAATCAACTGCAACAGAAATTATATAAAGTAAATTTTTGTATACAAAAAATTTAAAAAATTATTTGTGTTTTAATTTTAACGATTTTCAGATAATTTTGTATTGAAAGAAATTTTTGTCACTTTTATGTACAATTACAGAGGCCTGCAAAATTTTACTTTCTTTTGTAATAAAGAAATGGAAGGTGATTCTTATAGATTTTTTTACGCAGAATACGAATCTTACCTGAAATGATCCATAAAGTCAGGATTTTGTTACATGATTAAAAAATGGCTAATTTGTTCACTTTTTATGACTTTTTTACGGCTCAGAAGAAATTTTTTTTTCTTTTTCCGAAAAATATATTTAATAGAAGTATTTCTAAACTTTAAAACCCATTTTCATTCATCGTTTCACGACTTTTTAAGAAAAAGTTTTGTAGATTTGAATTTTCGTCATTTAGTCCAGTGTATACATTGACAAAAATAATCTATTAAACTTACAACTATTTTCCTTTGAAACAAAGTCATACACCTCAGCCTTCGTAGTTTTATACACTTGACTAAATGACAAAATTCATATATCTACATAAGTTTTCTTTAAGAAAATCGTATAACGATTTACAAAAATGGATATTAAATTTTAGAAATAGTACTACACGATACAATTCGGGAAAATGAAAATAGAAATTTTTGTGAGCCACAAAACATTCACAAAAATAGTCAAAGCAGTCATTTTTCGCCATTTAAGCTAATATTAAAGAAATTTTGACTTAATGGAATATTTTGAAGGTCAGATTCGTACTCTGTGTAAAAAATATATCACTTCCCATTTTTTAACAGAAGTGAAATTTTGCAAGCCTATGTTCTTTTATTTTCTTCAATCCGGATATTCGCAGTAACATATGTTACATTCCAATTACACTGAATTTGTATAATAACAAATTTTTAATTTCTTTGCAAAACAAAGCTCTTGATGAGGATGACGATGTTCTGATGGCAGCAATGGCAGTGTACAATTTGACTTTTACTGAGTTGGAGGATCTTAACCATATTAGAAATTTACTTGTGGCTCATACGAAGGAGAGAGAAGAGCACCAGAAAAATAAAAATTTTTTTGAGGAGACTGTGCCACTATATTCATTGTCAGGTAAAAAAATCAATACATTCGATTACATTAAGTCAATATATATTACCGTTAAAGTCCGGAAATCCGTTAATCTACACATCAATTAGTTAATATGCGGATTACCTGGCCAAATTCGTTAAAGTCCGAAAAGAAACTTTTGTTTCTCACATTAACTAGTTAATGTGCAGATTAACTAGGTAATGTGAAAATTACTGAGCTTATTGCAGTTAAAAAATTTGTTATTTTTGTTTGTTTAACTTTGACTTGACATTTTTCTATCGCATACGTGCGTAGACGTCAAATATTTGAGATTTAAAATATTCATTAAAATTGAAAATAATTTAATTTTTACAAGAGATTAATTATATACAGATTTGGCACTTTAACGGTTATTTACATATATACATATATATATAATATATATGGGACGTTTCGCGCCAACCGGGCCACCCATCTCTCCAAAATTGAGAGCTTTCAAAATTATTGATTATATATAGAAATTATTTGTATATATAAGTACTTTTGAAAAATGAGTGGCCGTTTGAAAAATCCAATATGGCGGCTGAAATATAACCAATAAAAGAATGAAAAACAGGAAAGATGGTTGCAAACATATAAATAAAAATGAATATAATGAAGAAAACAGCTCTGTATCGACATAAAATTCATCACTTAAGAATAGACAATATATACCATAAGTGAAAATAATAAATTTACCAAATCCAAAATGGCGGATCCAATATGGCGGACTAAAATTTTTAAAAGTAATTGGAATCACTTGAGACTTGCCACTAAGGGGTTTTTGGGGTCGCTGATAACGAATCTGAAGTCATTTTTTCTAAAATTCAAAATGGCGGATCCAATATGGCGGACTAAAATTTTTAAAAGTAATTGGAATCACTTGAGTCTTGCCACTAAGGGGTTTTTGGGGTCGCTGATAACGAATCTGAAGTCTTTTTTCTAAAATGGGTAAAAAGTTAAAACATAACAATAATTGTTTATTTAAACAATTTTATGCAGTAGTTTTCAGCAGTTTAACTGAATTTCTTATTTGGATTATTAATTTAATACTATGTGGTACTAAAAAGTTAATTATTTCATAGAAATTTGTTGATTTCCAGTTTTTTTTAATATGCTATAAATAATCAATAATAAATTGTTTTAAAAAATGAAATGTTTATCGTAACATTAATAAATTAGATTCTTATCCAGCGATCTAGAAAACACTTTAGAGCTAAATATTGAAAAGATTTATCGAGTTATTATTCTATTTAGACTATGACGTGTGCATACAATATGCTCAAGCAAGAAATTTAGTTACTTTTTTTAACGCTAGATGTCGAGGATGAATGAATCCATTTCTTTCTCACTATAGAGACGCAACTTCCATATGATAAATAGAAGCACTTTGGTGAACATTCTTTTTCTGTGTGGTTAATAGTTGATGCGTATACTGTTCTTCTTACTTCATTTTTTTATTTTCATATTTGATATTTATAACAAAAGATACAGAAAATCTGACTTTGATTAACCCTATGTGGCATAGTAGTAACCCAGATTACCTCTTTTTCTATTCTCAAATTTTTTCTTTACATTCAATCTTTTTTAAGTAAATTTAAAAAATTCTTTTTTATTGATAAATAAAACATTATTAAATGTAAAAAAATTAATAATAAATGCTGTTACGCTGATTTTGATCTTAATCTTTTTTCAAAATTCAGGCAGCTCTACCAAACAGCCCTTTTAAGGGCTATATGATGTAAAAAACCGATCGTGCAACCTCCCCGCGGTGTTCATCGGGTAACGTCAATGTCGACGGTACACTCTCTAAATCTGAGTTAGTAAAAATGTTTACTAATTTGAATTAGTGTCTCACTTTTTGCCTCTGAATTAGTAAAAATTTTACTAATTATTAGTAACTTTTACTAACAATTAGTAAAATTTAACTAATTCTAAAGCAAAAAGTGAGTCACTAATTTTAATTAGTAAACATTTTTACTAATTCAGATTTAAAGAGCAATTACTTAAGAAAATAATGTAATTCAATAAAAGTAAGATAAGATTTGTAATCAGCGACTCCTAAAACCCCCAAGTAACGACTTTTACACGATTTCGATTAATTCTTTGAAATTCGTCCGCCATATTGGATCCGCCATAATTAATTTTAGAAAAAAGACTTCAGATTCGTTATCAGCGACCCCAAAAACCCCTTAGTGGCAAGACTCAAGTGATTCCAATTACTTTTAAAAATTTTAGTCCGCCATATTGGATCCGCCATTTTGAATTTTAGAAAAAATGACTTCAGATTCGTTATCAGAAACCCCAAAAACCCCTTAGTGGCAAGTCTCAAGTGATTCCAATTACTTTTAAAAATTTTAGTCCGCCATATTGGATCCGCCATTTTGGATTTGGTAAATTTATTATTTTCACTTATGGTATATATTGTCTATTCTTAAGTGATGAATTTTATGTCGATACAGAGCTGTTTTCTTCATTATATTCATTTTTATTTATATGTTTGCAACCATCTTTCCTGTTTTTCATTCTTTTATTGGTTATATTTCAGCCGCCATATTGGATTTTTCAAACGGCCACTCATTTTTCAAAAGTACTTATATATACAAATAATTTCTATATATAATCAATAATTTTGAAAGCTCTCAATTTTGGAGAGATGGGTGGCCCGGTTGGCGCGAAACGTCCCATATATATATATATATATATATATATAAAAGATGAAGAGTTAAAAAAATATTTGGTTACTCTTAGGTACTTTTCTAGCTGGTACAACACTTTTCCGAAAATCTGCTCAACCGACTTTAAAAAAACAAAACCTATTCCATTATTTATCTACAAAAGTAGACAATGTCTAAACAAAAAATTCCCTTAATATATATTATATATTAATCATTTATTATTTTCTATTTTCATATTATAATTTAATTCTTTCTAATTATAGATTTTAAGTCGCACTTCCGGATGACAAGAACGACTTTTGAAAATTTAAGTCGCAGTTTGGGAAATGACTTGAATACGCCTTATTCCATTGTGCCAGTTGAGAAGAAATTTATTTATAACATTTTTACGGGCAATGCCCATTCGTACATAAGTACTAGAATTATAAAATTAACATTAAGCAGAGTGTAACTAGCGAAGACTCGACAGTTTATTCTCCCGCAGTATAATCCTCAAGAATTAGCTTTCGTAAATTCCTTGTAAATTCAGTTAAGGATATTCCAAAAAAATCGATACGATCATGGTATTGGTTCCCTTCGCTACTTAATCTATTTATTACAGAATTTGTTAAGTAATTTGTTCTTGTGAAAGGTAATTTAAACAGTTTTTGAACTCTCGAAGGTTTAAAAGGCACTGATATATTAAATAATGATAGTAAGCTCGGACAATTGATAATACCGTTGATAACCTTAAATAAAAATAAAAGGTCTGCATAGACAAATCGTTGTGACATTAGTGGAATATGAAAAGAATTACGCAAGTTAGAATATTCATGGCTATAAAAATCATATTCTATGCCTGAGCGTCTTGCCAAAAAGCGCAGAAATGTGTTTTGCATTCTTTCAATTTCTAGAAAAAGGTAATCCTGATAAGGTGACCAAATAACCGATGCAAATTCAGCAGTAGGCCTGACCAAGCAGAAATATAAAACTTTTAATGCGTGTACATTTTTAAAGCTAGATACATTTCTTAGTACGAAGCCCAAAGTTCTGGTTGCCCTGTTTATAATTTGGTGAATATGATCCCTGAAGTCGAGTGAGGCATCCAACTGGACCCCAAGATCACGCACCGAGGATCCTCTAGAAAGCTGCGTTTTGTTAATGGAATAATCAAAAATCATGTTGTTTCTGCGTCTTGTAAATGTGATGACATTGCATTTCTTGACATTTATTGGCAAATTATTTGCTACTGACCACTCGTGTAAGCAGTCAAGGTCTGCCTGTAAGTTGAGCTGGTCCTGCTTGTCACGAATGGTCTTAAACAATTTTAAATCGTCAGCAAAAAAAAGAAAGCTACTGTTTTTAAATAAATGAGTAGTGTCGTTGACAAATATTACAAAGAAAAGAGGACCCAAGTGCGAACCCTGGGGAACACCTGAGGTAGCCAAAAGGACATCAGAGTATTCATACTCCACCCTAACAGATATGTATCTGTCTGATAAGTAACTGCTAACCCAACAAAGCATGTCGCGTGTAAAGCCCAGAGCTTCAAGCTTAGCCAACAAAATAGTGTGGTCAACCTTATCAAAAGCCTTAGAGAAATCGGTATATATAGTGTCCACCTGATCTCCCTCCTCAAAGGCGCTAGCGACATAATTCGTAAAGAGAGTGAGGTTTGTTATGACAGATCTACGTCGCATGAAACCGTGCTGCTCGTCAATTATTGAACTCTCAAGTTGGTTAAATAAAATATCATGTACAAGACTTTCAAAAATCTTCGGTATACCACTAAGAATAGTTATAGGTCGATAATTCTTGACGTCATTTTTATCACCCTCCTTGTAAATTGGAACAACAATCCCTCTTTTCCAATCAATTGGAAAAATTCCACATGATAATGACCAGTTGAACAAAATACAAAGAGGTTCCACGAATGAAGAGCAACACGATCTCAGTAGCGAAGGAGGAATTCCGTCCGGCCCAGCGCCCTTTTTGGAATCAAGATTTTTAAGTTTACTCAAAATTGAATCTTTACTAATAATGAATGAATTAATGTGACAAGTATTCGGAAACTGAAAGTCCGAAGCCGTTGCAGTGGTAGAGGGAGAGCAGTGGACAGAACTAAAAAACGATCGAAAACAGTTTGCAATATCCGCGCTATTGCTCGCAGTGACATCGTTGAATTTTAATTGCTTTGGGAGACGTGAGTCCCCTTGAAGAGAGTGAATATAATTCCAAAAATATTTCGCATTTAATGTAACAGAATTTTCAACTTTTAGAATATAATTTCTATAAGATTTTTTTGATAGTGCTTTACATTGTGAGCGTAGAGAAGAAAAATGCTGGTAGTCAATTGAAGCATTAGTGCATTTATATTTCGCATGAGCTGCTTTCTTTTCAATAGTTAGACGCTTTAGTTCATTAGGGAACCAGGAAGGAAAGTTTGAAGCCGTTATTCGCTTAAGAGGTATAAAAAATTCAAATGCTGTATAAACATAGTTATAAAAAATAGTAACGGCGTCATCAATATTTTGCGTATCCAAAACCAGGTTCCAATCAATATTACAAAGAAAATTACAAATAGCGTTCAAGTTTGCTTTTTCAAAATTATATCTAAATCTAGGTTGGTAGATATTTGAATTTACGTTTGAATTTGCAAGAGTAAAAATTTTAAGGAGTAACGGAGGATGATAATTATCTATAGGAAGGATAGAATCAGTGGAAGTTTCCAGTATGTAGTTTAAGGAATTGTAAAGAATTAGATCGAGGATAGAACCAGAAAAATTCGTGAATGTATTGACCTGTGTCAAACCCATAAATTCAAAAGAGTTAGAAATTAAATTTGTAATTTCACGATTTGAACGAGAGGAACCAGGAAGTGAGGTACATAAAGGTTCGCTATCATTGGAAAAGTTCCATTTAATAAAAGGCAAGTTAAAATCGCCAATGACACATAATTTAGCAGTAGGATTAGAAGAAATAATTTCCTCCAGAGTTTCACAGACAATCGAGTAAATGTTTAAATCAGAATTCGGTGGTATGTAGAATGACCCAACAATGTATAAAGATGATCGGTGAGTAAACTTAATAAAAATACATTCGAGAGAAGTTACGTTTGTTGACAGCAATGAAGCGCGTAATAGTGGATCACATGCCACGAGTACCCCACCACCGCGTAGATTTGTACTAGTGTGACTATCTCTGTCACAGCGAAAAATATCAAAATTAGTTAAGCCAAGTTCTGAAGAAGCGAAGTCAGAGTTTAACCAGGTTTCTGTGAATATAACTAAGTTGAATGAAAATAGTGGAAAAGATTGACGAAGCAAAGCAAGTTTAGTTCTTAATCCTCTGACGTTTTGATAATACAAGGTAATATCAGATAGATTGTTTGAAGAGGCACAGTTTCGTTGACTCGGAAGGGAGGGGACATCTCTCTCTTCAGAATACAGTGAACGTCTAGAAGGCACACACGCACTGTGTAAGTCTTGCGTTGAACGAACACTAATACTGTCGCGCGAGAAGTGCTGGTTGTGGCTTATGGAGTGGGTGGGGTACGGGTGACTCGAGTCTTCACTGGTATTATAATCGGTACCCCTCTTCTGTAGACTATACGTAGGTCTGTCTCCCCCTTCGACAGTCTCTCGTTCATCGACGCCTGTGCCTCTTTGAAGAGGCGTGTTTGTAGAGGTGACTTGTCCCAAGACATCGTCATGTCTCTGTGTATGAACACCGGTAGTTGAGTGCGACTCGCCTTGGCTGTCTTGAATGCTACAGTCACTTTTTTGACAGATATTTCGTCTGTCAAGAATACACGCAGTGGACGGGGCCGTGGCGACATCTGTTGGTAATTACCAAGACGAGACATTGAGTGAATTGGTATGTTTTCGTTAGGCAATAAAAAATTTATAATATTATTAACAATTCCACTATCAGTATTCGAAAGTCCACCAGCAGGAGATTCGTTTCCACTTTCTGACAAGTTGTAAATAATCAGATTAGATTTACGCCTATTACGTTCATCTATTTCTTGAACACAGTCAGATAGGATGTGATCAGAAAGAGTGAGTAATTTATTATTTAGAGATGTTATTTCAGACTTCATACCTTGAAAATCGTTCTCCAAGACATCAACGCGAACCATTGCTGATGAAATAGTGTTCTCAATACTATTTACTCGCTGGGAGATATCTGTCACTGTTGTTTGTATTGGGTTAATTTGGAGGGAAATTTTCTTTAATTGATCTGATAGCATTAAAGACAAATCATCCTTTGTGATCGCAGCAGTACAAGTGGGCGATGGTGGTCTAGAGGAGCAACACTTTTTCTTTTTATGACAACCAGGGTGGTAAGGGAGGTTGCATTTTTCACAACGCACAATTTCTTTTTGAACTTCGACACCACATGCGCGGCAAACTTTGTCGGGAATAGACAGAGACATGATGATTTGTAGGTTAGAAAAACAGTCAGAGCGGGACTTGCTTATAAAAAGTCATATAATAAATGAAACCACTAAAAATAAATAGGATTACTGTAGGGGAAAAATGCACCAAACAGTTCATAAAGATTACACTACTCAAATTTTGCTAAAACTTTGCAAAAGACGAATTTCAACAGGGGAGCAAAAGAACACGTCCTGCCGAGAACTTCGCACATGCGCGATAGATTGGCTATTGCCAATCTTAGAGCATGTTAGATGAAAAATTTGCCAAGTTATAAGGATTCAAAGTTAAAAGAGTCAAAATGTTAGTTTGGAGAAAAACAAGTTTCAATTTCGAGTCTACCATTAGCTCCCATGCTAATAAAAAATTAAAAATATTATTATAACGTATTTGTAATTACGAACAAATTATAACAAACGCAAAAATCAACGCAGAACACACTACATTGTTTTTCATCATTAAAAAAAGTCAATTTGAACCATTTTTAGAAAATAGCGATTATCTTCTAAAATAAAACAGTCAAAGTGGTTCCTTTTCATGCGGACGTACACATATCCTCTTTTTATTTAGACCGAGGGGCTGTTCACTCTCAAATACCCGATTTGTAATGTAGAGAATATACTAGGTATCTTCCGAATATTCATCAATTAACATAAGAAAATATAAATTTCTTGATTCTGAATAAATTGTATTTTAAGTGGAGATTACCGGCGATTACTGAAAAGGACGTTCGAATTTGACGAATACTATGCGAATCCAACAAATCTCGTCGATTACAGTAAAATCCTAAGACATGCAGTAGGAATTGTTGCGAGTCACGAATGGTTACGGAGAAATACGAGCGAATTCGGCGGCAGCCGATTATTCACAAGTGAGTGTGAATTGAGCGAGTATTTCACAGTCGAACTTCGTCCTCAACTTCGTCTTGATCGCTCGATATAGGCTGACGTTGCCGCCATAGTTTCGATCATAACCTCTTAACCGAAATATATTATTATGAGTATATTCCACGGATAAGCATTATCGTTTCGTCTACAATTGTTTTTATGAAAATTGATAGCGAGGTGAATATTATTTTTATTTATTATTATAGTTTC